AGTGGCTTCCACTCGTAAATCCTGCAAAATCACCACTGGGAAGTTAGTGGGTCCAAATTACTGTGGCCACTTCAGATCTCATAATTCAATAACATTTTGTTTTCATGAATTACTAACAGATATCAGAGTTAGCAGAATCTCTGCCTGAGAAGGTCAGATGGAATTAGAAAAGCCTTTGAAAACAAAGACTTACAGAGCTTCTAAAAATATGCATTGAAATTAAAATACGATTGCTACACTTTAAATAAATATCAGCTACCACCTGAAAGTCCTATTAAAATACTGATGGAAAAAAAGAACTTTTCTGGATTGTAGACGTGTGCAACAGCACCAATTTTACTATCTTAGTGCCTCAGTCATTTAACTCCTGATTTACTGTACTTATGCAAATGAAACAAAACTGCTACACAGCTTCCCTGAAAAGCATTGGGACAGGCTTTCTGGAGTCCCATCCAACTCTGCAACAGGAAGGATTAAGACCAGCACCTTGTGGCTGGGAAAACAGAGTTAAGGAATATTCAAGGTTCAGTGCTGGCTTATGGGAATAATCTTACTGACAAACTGCTTGCTCATGACTCTGATATGTTTTGAGGTGAGCTCACTGGTCTAATCCTGGACTCAGCATTTTACAGCATTGAGGCTTTAGGTACAGATAAATGTGGAAGCAAGGAAGGCAGCACTTGTACTTCCACTTATTATCTATATATGATTTTCTTGGTTAAATTCCTTAGGCTTTGCTTCCTCCCCAGTTTTTCTTTCTTCAGAATAGTTTTTCAAAAATAGAACCAAGTATGAGCCTGAAAAACACAGAATTACCCTGGCCAGTGAAGAAAGAACTCTCTGTGCACTTTTTATTCCACCTAACATCACGAGGTTATCCAATTTCCTGTGGCAAATTTCCACCAATGGCAGTAGAGAACGAGGTGAGAGCTGAAGATGTAACAAAATAAAATTAAAGACCCTTGCAACTTACCTACATTGATTTCTCATTCTTCTCTTTTAATTTTGGCTCAGTGCTATAATATCCTTGAACCCACCAAATAACTTCAAGGACATATATTTTAAGTATTAGCTTGCTTCCTTTCCTATCTTACAGTGATATAAATGACAAAAAAGCATGCTCTAACATTCATATGAGCTGTTGTCTTTCACGCTGGTAATTCTGAACAAAGGCTGCTTTAAGTAGAACATATGAACATGCAAACTGTTGCCAAAATGCATGGTCTCATGAAGTCTCTTACATATGTACATATAGTCCAGTAACAAAACACAAATATTATAGTCCTACCCTCTTTTGTTTAAGACTGCAGTTTCTAACTGTTGCATATACTGTAGCTGCTCAAAGAGCTGAACAAAGTGAGTGCAGCAGATTTATTCAGAGAAAACAGTCATATAAAAAAACCTGTGAGGAAGTTCCCAGAGCCCTCACTTCATTTTCTCTTTGGTTCCTAATTAGGATTTGACGAGTTTGAAACCCTGTCCCGTGTCCAACACTGTAGGAAGAAACCAACTCATTTTCAATCTTTTCAAGCACCTAAAACACGCTTTACAGACCCAGAACATATTGAGACCGCAAAACCAGTTTGCCAGATGCACTAATGGATAGGTAACACGTGGGAAATAGATCATCCAGTGTTTGGCAACATCACTTCCTGTTGGCAAGTGCAGAGTATAGTCACTCCAGCGTTTCGACACGCCGTACACCGCTTTCACTGTACGTCCCTTTTCTGACCAGCTGATGTTACTGTCAGGGTTACAGTTGTACTCAACCCATTGCCTGGTGAAGTCTCCAAGCTGCGGAGGGTCTGCTTCCTCAACATCTACAACTCTGGCCATCTCTGCTCCTTGCACTGCGACGTACTGGTCGTTTACTTTTCTTACTTCTTTAACCCAAGGCTGAGAGTTCTCACAGTCTAGAACAATGATGAGTCGAGAACAAAAAGTGCCATTCTTTTCTCTCCACCACTCCAAAAGTGTGTCAAGTCGCAAAGCATCACCTCCTGCCACAAGGAAAACACATTTAGTATCAACACGAAGAAACACAAAACTCTACAGAATGTTAACTGGAATAACTTGCAACTTCAGTGCCAGAACTTTTCATGTTCCATCTCAGCTTATGCTCCAACTTTGCTTTTAAAGAGCACATTTTTATTAAATACAGTTACCTATGATGGGGATTCCTTCTGCCTAAGTGTAAGGGATACTGCAAGATCTATGCAGCTTTGAAAACCGAACTACTTACCCAAGCGTTTAAGGGAAACATCTTGCAAACAAACGAATAAAACTCCACTAGTTCCAAAGTGATTATTAATGTAAGAAACTGACGTCTATTTGTTGGAGGTTGGAAGTACAGATTTACAACAAAAACACTCTGGTTTGAAAGCATCCATTTTTAAAAAAATAAAGAAATTAAGATGACTTACAGAAGAGAAGTAGGAAAATGTAATTTAAAATAACAGCATTTCAATTCCAGAGTGATTTTCCCTGTGTAGCATAAGTACATTTAGCAAACTTTAAAATCTTGTTAATAGGAATTGAATTGCACAGATGAAGCTCAAACACAATACCTGCATATTTCAGCACTCACACTTGTCTGTAAGGGTTGACAAAAGAAGTAATTCAAGTTAATAGCCTGGAGTTCAAGCTTTAAGCACAACACTGCAGTTAAAGTAAAACCAAAATTACAGGGCTACAACTTTCTCTAAAACGAATGCAGACTTGGGAAAAAATAGTACCAAAGAAAACCTTAAGAATCTATAATAGAGATTTAATCTTGGTACATGATCTCCAGATTGCTGTATTTTATGTAATTACAACAGAGACTTGTGTAGAAGCCAGTTTCCTTTTTTTTTTTTTTTCCCCTAGGTAAGCCCCCTCTGTCAATTATCAGTAAAAATTTATTTGTTAACATTTGAAAGGCTTATAAGTAAACTTTATTTCAGTGTAACTAAGCAGGGATAGAGGTGATTTAAAAACAATGTAGTTGTTAACAACTGTCCAAAGAAAACCACCTCATCCTTCATCCACAAACACCCCCTCCACTTCCAGCCCTACTAACCTCGACCACACAGACTGATGGCCAGAGCAAGTTTCAGGCACCAAGCTCTGTGAGAAATCTATGCATCTGGCCACATCTGGCTCAGGCAGGTTTCACAAGCAGCTGGGCTGACAGTTTCAGTAACAAAGTTTGATTAGCCCAGCTCTCGCCTTGCATTCAGTGGGAAGAACACGACCTCCCATGTCGTTTGACTGCTCATGCTTTATGCATGACTAGTTAACAGTTTCTTTTATACACCACTGTGCTACAACCCACCTTCCAACTACAGAGAAACATCATTACTGAACTAATAAATCCAGAAAGGCTTCTTTAAAAGATGTCATTACAAAGCACAGACTACACTGCTACTGCTGTGCAGACTCACTGCATAAATCAAGAGAAAGACACTGCTTTTTCTATTAGATGCAAATGATGCATTTCCTTGTTGCCATCTCTTTACTCCTCTCCAGAGGTCAGAGGATGGTACACATTACAGGAGCTAATGACCAAACGTTCCATCTGTCACAAAACGCCGCTGCCCACTACAGAGTACGTGCTGTGCCACTGTACAGTCAAATACCCTTCATCTTCTCAGTCTATACTTCAGGTTACTCACAATAGCAGTGCTGACTGGAAGGACTATCAAGTTGCACCCATAATTTATCTAACTCTCGCAATGGGAAAATAATCCCAAAGTGTATTCAAGGCAAGCGGTAACTGTCTGTTCCCTTTCTTTATATGACTACACATTATCTCCAAATCGAAATTGAAGATTGGTGGTTGGAAAGAGAACTGAAAAGGAACTGGTTAAGATGCTAAAAATCACTGCATTTACACATTGCAGTAAACTTTATTGCAAATGTTACCTTGTCCCTTACTCCAAAAGTAAAGACAGAGCTTAATACTGGCTACAGCTACCTAAGCAGGTGCACAGGGAGCCTAGGCTCCTCTGCCACACTCCAAGCTGGCCAAATCTAAGTAATGATATGGATGCTGTTAAATTTCTGCATCAATGTTTGGTCATACATACCCTAGTAAACTAATGGTATCTGTGCTGCTGGCTGGAGCACTGGCAGTAGGCAGAGCTGAGCAGTTTGAGGCTCCACACGGTGCGTGGACAGACTTGGCAACTGTATGAGGTGGCAGCTGCTCTCCTGAACGCAGCCACCTTATTCTCAGTAATTCTCAAGTAATTCTGCCATGCTGGTACATACCACGTTACATCACTCATGCTTAGTGACTATTGCTGCAGCTTGTTGTTGTTGTTTGTTTGTTTTTTAAACCTACTGATACAGATGAAGCCTTTGAGGAAAAAAATACACACTGCTCATCAGCAGGTGTAATAATAGTTCAGGCATGGAATTGCACCAAAACAGGTGTTTGGCCTCCAGAAGAAGACTGACCTGTGTCTGAACAGCTTACCATGCCTGCATGCCAAGCTCAAATCTGTCTACTCTGCTCAAGAGACCATGTCTTGGCAGACTGCTGATGAGCTGCCAGCAGCTCAGAGGCACAGTGCTATCCATGAAAACCAACTCTGACCCAGGAAGAAAACAAGTTTCAGAGTTATCATTACAAGATTCGTATTTTGCACACAAAATTATCAGAAGGCCAGTTTCATACAGCAAGGGAACAAGGCTAAGCCTATCACCAATGTGAAAACTTCACAGGTTTACTAAACAATTGTTCTTATACAACTGATGTATAACTGCATAAAACAAGGCGATCAAAAAAGGGACAGAAGGGGGGAAAATGGTTTGCAATCTTGAGGCTACACTGTACCTAGAATGACTCCCAAACTCTAGGATGCCAGCAAACCTCAGTTTTTTTTTCCACAATACAAGGTTTCCTTAGTGTTTGAAGAGCTGCTTTTCTAGTGTGGTTGTACCAGCTTTTATTAATTTTAACTTTTATAAAACACAGAATAGGTCTTAAGGACACACATGCAGTCCTTCATGACAGCCTAGCTGTCACAGTGATACAGGACCCTGTAAGATTCACTTGTAAATGTGCTGGCTCCGCCATGTCCAGGAAATGAGAACAGATTATGTCTGTTCAATACAGTGAGCAAATACTCATTGAAGTACAGGGGATATCTGTATTTAGAGCAGGAGGCTGTCTTTTCCACATTAACTTGCTGGAACAAAAAGAAGTAATCTTTAAAGGTTACTTTTCAAATTGTAAGTGGAATAAGAAACTGTTTAAACTTGTAAGCGTACATTTGGGGTCAACGATCATAAGAAAAGTTAGCTGCAAAAGGATTCTTATCAAATTGACTAAACACTACAAAGGACAGAAGTTCATGCAGTTCATACTTGTCATACAGAGGAAGGGAAGGAAAGGGCTGCTTCTTTAGTTAGCTGCAAAGAAAAGAGGTTTCTCCATTTCTCTATTCTCTCCACTAGCAGAAGCAGTCAGCCTGCAACCTTGCCAATTTTGATGATTCCCTGTAAGCCCTGAATTTCTTAACAGTCATACTCTATATATTACCAATTCCTTTCTTCCTTCCATCAGAAGAGGGCTGGGACAGGAAGGTCATTGTCCCTCTCTTCTCTGCCCTTGTGAGGGCCCATCTGGAGTACTGTGTCCAGGTCTGGAGCCCCCAATACAAGAAAGACAGAGAACTGTTGGAGATGGTCCAGAGAAGAGTCACAAAGATGATCAGGGGACTGTAGCACCTCTGCTACAAAGACAGGCTGAGGGAGCTGGGCTTGTTCAGCCTGGAGAAAAGAAGGCTGTGTGGTGACCTCATTGCAGCCTTTCAGTAACTAAAGGGAGCCTACAAAGAGGAGGGGAATCAACTCTTTGAAAGGGTAGATAACAGCAGAACAAGAGGAGATGGTTTGAAGTAGATGGAGGGAAGATTTAGGTTGGATGTCAGGGGGAAGTTCTTTACTATGAGAGTGGTGAGGTGCTGGAACAGGCTACCCAGAGAAGTTGTATATGCCCCATCCCTGGAGGTGTTCAAGGCCAGGTTGGATGGGGCTCTGGGCAGCCTGGTCTAGTATTAGATATGGAGATTGGTGGCCCTGCATGTGGCAGGTGGGGTTGGAAATTCATGATCCTTGGTCCATTCAAACCTGGGTCATTCTGTGTGATTTATTCTGTTTGCGATTCCTTCCCTTCTAGGAGCTCACATGAACTTGTACTCCAAAGATGTGGTTCTTTGCCGTTCTGGACTATGAGATAACGTGACTTTGAAGTTTTGCAATATATCATGATTTATCAATGCCAAAATTATCAACAAGGAACATACAAAAGTTACCTGCCAGTGCCCATTCACCAGAGCCATGTGAGTGACCACTGTAATATAAAATATATGTATCATGTCTGGGTCCATCTGCGGTCCGAAGTTCAAGAAAAGACTTGATCTTGGAGTGAAGGGTATCAAAGGACAGTCCACTTGTAGAGTAGTCACAACCATATGTCTCAATCATGTGATATGCAAAAAATCTTTGGATGGCATTAAGCATGCCTGTAGATCTCAGGTTTAACTCTTGCACATGATCAGGTGGAAGAAGAGTTGGCTGGCCGTCAGGACTAAAGAGAAGAGAACCAGTTCTGATCAATAATTACCTCAGGTTTAGCAGACTTTTAGCAATTGAAAATTTCTTCCTGTGACATATTTTCTCTGCTATGAAGCACTACTACTGTAAATTCAAATTAACTTGAAAAACAGTTTACAAACAATGCCAAACACTGTATTTCAGTGAGGAGCCACTAACTTCCCCTCCCTGTTGTCACACCTCCTCCACTTCAAAGCGTGAACCTTTACTCAGCCCCACGCAGCTTTTTCCATGCAGGGAGAAATAGCGTCTCTGGACTCAGATTCGCTCTTGCCTGCACTCTGAACTTGCTGCTTGAAGACAAGCAGTGACCTGAACATGCAAGGCTCCCCTATTTCATCAAGTCCACTGAGAGAACACTGCCATCAGACAGGCACTTCTTCACAGATATTTGGGTGCAGGAAAAAGGAACACTAGTTTGCACAAAAAATATCAAGCAAACTAATTTTCAACAACAGAGTAGAAGAAACGCAAGTCACAATTTACTCTGATATTTTGAATTCATGTATTTCTGTTCCAAAATAGTCCTTATGCAATATGGTACTCCCTTATGCAGATACAATAACCCATTTGCATGTGCTGGTTGTGTGTGCTCATCTTTCAGCACAAGAAGTAACTTTCAGATAATGGTGTTCACAGTTTAGAAAACAAAAGTTCTAAGAAAATGATGAACTGTAGCTGGAACAAGCCAAGTGTATTCAAGTATGTGGACATACGTTCCTGAATAGTAATGGAAGAGCCTCATTATTCCAAAATGCAAGCTATTCATTAATCATAACAGCAAGAGATTTGGCCCTTCAAGATACCCAGTGGAATTAGTTACTCACTCTTTTTGAAGCAATACAAAAGTACCTAAGTAACAGCACTGGACTGCCTCTGTTTGCTAACAGTTCACTTACACTACTGTGAAGTTGAAGGATATGGTAACTGTACCTGCAGAAGTTGGTGGGAACCACAACAGCATACCCCACACACGTTCCTCCCAGACAGTTCCCCAACTCATGGAACAGCCCATGAGCCATGGACTCCAGAGGCAAAACAATGAGAAATGCACTCATGAAGATCCCGTTGGATGGCTAGAAAGAAAATAGACAGATTTAGGTATTGCATAAAAAGTTCTTCCTATACACAGCTTCAATGTGTTTTCCTTGTATTGATCAAGCATAACATGGAATGAGAATTATTATATGTAATGAATACTCATATATTTACATACACATTAAACACTGAGTACTCTAAAGACAAATGAAAGGTCAATTTGGCGGTTTGGGAAGACACTGGTGGTAAGCAGGGATCACTCTTCAGAGAGAAAGTGGTGAGGGGTCTGGAGCACAAGTCTTTTGAGGAGTGGCTGAGGGAGCTGGGATTGTCCAGTCTGGAGAAGAGGAGGCTCTGGGGAAACCTCATTGCACTCTACAACCTCCTGAAGGGAGGTTGTGGTGAAGAGGGATTTGGCCTCTTCTCCCAGGCAACGAGCAGAACTCAGGGTAATGGCCACAAGTTGTATCAGAGGAGGTTTAGATTAGACATAAGGAAGAACTTTTTCTCTCAGAGAGTGGTCAGGCACTGGAATGGCTGCCCAGGGAGGTGGTGGAGTCGCCGTCCCTGGCAGTGTTCAAGAGGCATCTGGACGATGTGCTGTGTGATATGGTTTAGTGCTTGTGGTGGCAACGGTGGTGAGGAGACAGTTGGACTAGATGATCTTATAGGTCGTTTCCAACCTTGTGATTCTATGATAGGAATGCATTTGAAATCACTGACAGCACAGGATTTAGGTTTGAAAGCCTTGATCATAGCTTAAGCTTCACCCATTTAAGCAGTGATATCAAATGCCAGAAAATTATGTGTATAAAATAAGTACTTCTGTAAATATTAGCAGGATTGGGACTTAATCAGTAAAGTACTGCAGACAATATTATGCACCTAGCATGAGATGACAGCATACTATAATACAGCATTAAAAATAACCGTTTCACTATTCTTGCTTTTTAATGCTAAGAGATTTTTATATATATATATACACACACACACTCATATCTCCTCAGCAAGGTACAATTGAATGTGTCACACAAAGACCCGTTAAGAACATTACTGTGATTATTGCATACTGCATTATTGTCTTTTTAAGACATTTCTTTATGTATCTTTATGTACATAGGTATCACAAGAAAAAGAGAATTACTACTGGACTTCGTTGCATTCACACAGCTGATATTCTTCATGAAATTTCCCTGTTTTGTAGCTAAAAAGCAGTTTTGGAAAGGATTACTTCAGTAACAGTGAAAAGTAGATCACTTCAATGAAAAAGGTAAGGTTCCAAAACTCAGTTGCAGCCACTAATGCCAGTATAATAAAAACAGACTGCTGAAATGTCAGGTGTCAGTGAGAGGCAGATCAGCTTCAAGTTTCCCTTATTTATTTAAATATGATGTGACTGGGTTTAATAAGGCATAAAATGCTTTAGGAAAGGTAGAACAATACAACACATAAACAACCAAGAACATTAACGTTCACGGTAAAGTTATCAAGTACTCATGTTCGTTTTACAGCAAAGGAAATAAATTCATGCCTACAGCCTCCTGTCCACAGCCTTCCACCACATTTATTTTACACGTGCTCTCTGTGTATGTACATATGTAATGTACAGCATTAGTATTTGCTTTTAAACCTGGATTTTGCTTTCCTGTTTACCACTCTTAGCGATTTGCTGCAGACTGGTAGTTCAGCTTAACACACAGAAAAAACAATTTACAATTTGGAATGTAAAACATAGTGGAAAAATGATATTTAAACCAACTCCATTCTCACTGGCGCACAGAGCTAATGCAACAATATTCAGTTTTTAAGAACACTGCACAACTTCCAAAGAAAAGCTTTACTCATCTCCTGTGCTTCCAGCTCTAAGATCCTGTGGTTTCTGAATGTCCCAGTTTTAAATAGTAGTCCATTGTACTTCTGATAGGATTTCACCCGAGTCCTTGAAATGGTGACAGCAATACTTTTACCACAAATAAGCACCAGAACCTGATATTACCTGACAACTAACTGATAACATTAACTGATAGTTGATAGCACTGCTCTCAAATAACCGATAACTGTTAACTGATAGCATCATTCTCAAATTCCACCACCTGAAACCACTATAAAATTATATCCAGATCTGACTAAGCTTTATAGAATTCCTTACCAATGAGAAGTTTATTTACCTAGTTTCTAGTGCTGAAGAGCAAGGCCATGACACTGAGCAGACAATCTATCATGCCATCAACAACCAAGGAGAGCTTCCCTTACCTGCAGCACAGCACATCTCATCAGAAAAGTTTAATATGTTGTGACTGGCTAACATTTGAGGAACAAAATCAGTTCAAATATAGTCTGTAAAAGGTGATAAGTCTCTTGATAATAAAGCAGTCAGATTTCACGTGGTGTAATGTAATCTCATATTTAGTGCTAATAATTTGAATCCATAAGGAGTAGTGCCTGCATATTAAATGCAAGTACATTACAGGAGATTCATAATCACCTTTATGTGCATCATTTTCTTAGCCATCTCAGGAGATATCTTCCATCATTCCAGACATATTCTTTACCAATTATGCCTACTGCTCAGTGGGTCAGGATCACTGGGTGAGTTAGGAGACAGGAAGTCCCCACTGAAGTACAAAGAAGCACTCATGAAGCAACTCTCAAATCCTGTGTCAGACCATAAGGATTTTCAGAGTAATTTCCCCAAACCACAGTATAACCATTACAGCACAACCTCAACCTGTTCTGTTGTAACTAAGGAGAAAAATAACCCTGTAACTCATTTTTGTGCCAAATGTCAGCAGAATAGAGCTCAGTTCCCAAACAAACTCTGATAATGAAAAGGACTCAATGACAACTTACAAAGATCTGCCAAGCATTCAATCTTTAGAAACTTGGTAAAGTATATGATGTTGATGAAATATTGGAGCTCTTGCTAAACTAGTTTCCAGATTTGGAGGTTTCTGAAACTGTAGATACCAGAAGATAAACTTGCCTTAAGTTACCGTAAAAATTGAAGGGCTCATCTGGAAAAGTTTCCCATTTATGATCAGTTAGCAGTTTTTCTAGACCTTGAAAAGCCTGAATGCACGGACCATGAAGTGGTCAAGCTTTAGGACTATGACAAATCCAGCTTTTCCATCACATATAAACATGATGTATATAAATATGAGTTTTGGATCTTGTTATAACAAACTGCTCCTATGTTGCATTAGTGTTTTAATCAGAATGATCAAGTTACAAACAAAAAAATACCCTGAACCACAAAAACAACATATATCAGTTGAAAAGGACCACAGCGATCATGTATTTTCAACCCCCCTGCTATACGCAGGGTCACCAACCACCAGACCAGGCTGCCCAGAGCCGCATCCAGCCTGGCCTTGAATGCCTCCAGGGATGGGGCATCCACAGCCTCCTTGGGCAACCTGTTCCAGCGTGTCACCACCCTCTGTGTGAAAACCTTTCTCCTAATATCTAACCTCAACCTGCCCTGTCTCAGTTTAAAACCATTCCCCCGTGTCCTATCACTGTCCACCCTCGTAAACAGCCATACCCGCTCCTGTTTATAGGCTCCCTTCAAATACTGGAAGGCCACAATGAGGTCTCCCCAGAGCCTTCTCTTCTCCAAGCTAAACAAGCTCAGTTCTCTCAACCTTTCCTCACAGGAGAGATGCTCCAGCCCTCTGATCATCTCAGTGCCCTCCTCTGGACCAGCTCCAAGAGCTCCACATCCTTCCTGAACAGGGGCCCCAGGCCTGGACACAGTACTGCAGATGGGGCCTCACAAGAGCTGAGTAGAGGGGGACAATCACCTCCCTCTGTCTGCTGGCCACCCCTTGTTTAATGCAGCCCAGAATACAGTTGGGCTGCAAGCACACACTGCTGGCTCATGTCCAGCTTTTCTTCTATAAGAAGAATATCTCTATGAATATCACAAGGAATACAATTACATCATTAAATTAATGAATTTGTATTTTGGAAGTTTACTTAGAAAATGCTATCATGTTCTAAACACTCCCTGCATTTCCCCAAGCCCCTAAAACATACACTGTGGTAAGCCTACAGAGCATTCTGCAATAACAGAACTTGAGATCATCATGAAAATTTACAGTTTTCATTACATATCCAACTGAGTCAGATTCAAAAATAAACAAATTTCCAATTAATTGCTGAAAGTACTCCTATTAAATGAAGATACCAGCAGGAAAATTCACAAGTACTTGTTGGATAAGGGTCTTACAAAAAAAAGTAATCATCTCTAAGATCCATCTTGCTCCTTAGTTTGTACTAAATCTTAAAGAAGAAGGGAAAATGTGCTCTACCAGGTTATGAGTCAGCTCCACCTGAGGTTTCAACTTATCCTCATTTAGCTTCCATCTTATGCTACCAAGTAGTAAAGCGTATTTATTGTTAGAATATATATTTCATGCCTATAGACATCTATCTAATGTAAACATGTTGGCACTTGCTGTCAGCTCTTCATCACAGTTTTGATTTAGAAGAAATACACCACTAAGAAATACAAGAATGATTAATGATGTTGGAGAAACAGTAGATGAAATATTTTAATTCAGCACAGCAAAAAAAAAAAAAAAAAAGCAAAAAAAAAAGGCAAAAAAAAAAATTGCAAAAAAAAAGGCAAAAAAAAAAAAGGCAAAAGAAAAAAAAAGGAAAAAAAAGAAAAAGAACATTTTAAAATATCGAAACTATAACACCACAGCAAGAAATAGTATCTAATTAACTAATTATTGTAAGTCTTAAGGTGGGTCCCTAAGATAGCAGCTCAGATGCCAAGTGGAGACTCAGTAAATCCAAAGGTTTTGATGACTGCCCTTAAAGAAGCAGATGGCTGTGCACTCACAGCCGGAGCCAGAAAGGGATTTTGTTCTTTCAGCAGTTCAGCCCGTTTTGTCTCTGCTGCTGACTGCTCAAGCAATCTCAGCCCAAAGCAGCTCTCTGTACTCCAAGTGCCTACTGATCCCAGACCACACAAAAAGCAGAGAGAGGACACGGACCATCCCTACAATACAACTGAAAAGATAAGAAG